ACAACGCTTGACCTCCTTGGATGAAAACAAAACTATTTAGCCTAACTTACGTATATACAAAAATGCACGCCTACTGAGATATAGCCTTCTAAATATAGAACAGAAAACATAGTTTTTTTCAAATAATTTGAAAACTGCTTTTCTTAGAAACTTCAAATTTGGTACACATATTATTTTATATAAGGGCAGTGTAAATATAGAATTTGGTGAAAATACATATCCAAGATGTTCTCTTTCTAGTGCCTGTGCTCCACTGGCTATCTCGTAACTTTTTTGTAACTATGTACGCCAATGACGACAGAATTTATATTTTTAAAAATAAGCACTATTTTAGAATATTTTTTGCCTCTTACAAAATTTTGATATCGTTTATGGATTTCGAGTAAAATTGGCATTTTTTACACATTAAATAATATAAAATCAGTTTAAGATAAATAGAACATTCTAGTACGAGGTGCCATATAACAGAGAAACAAATTCATAACAATAATTAAAAGGTTCTGTGTCAAGCTAGCTGTGATTTAATTTTAGCTTACTTTGTTTTTTATTGCAATTTATACTTTTGCTGAACAAACTGATGTTAGTAGTTTTCGGTTATTATGAAGGAAATTGTTGTGCTACTGTTTGAACATATGCTGAAAGATTTCCTAATCGAAGAATTCCAAATCACAAAACATTTGCTAATGCGGAGAGACGCCTTCGGGAAACAAGACGTTTTTTTACCTGTAAAATTAAATCGTGGATAACGTACGGCCGGAACTATTCAGCTAGAGGAACAAATTTCGGAAAGGGTCGAGGAAATTCCTCAAGTAAATACAAGGCGTTTAGCGACAGAGGTTGGCTTTCAAAAAGTTCCTTTAATAGAGTATTAAAAGACCAGTTATTACAGGTTACAGGTATTACAGGGTACAGGTAGGTATTACAGGTTATTAAAGGTCTAACAGGTGGATAGGTAGAGGAAATAATGCCCCTTTAAAATGGCCACCTCGATCCCCGGACCTAAACCCATGTAATTATTTCATTTGGGGAGCGTTGAGGACCACAGTTTAAAATAACTTTTCAGTAAATACAGAAAACGAATATGGGAAAGAATACAACATGAAATTAATGTTATGAGAGGTAATGCACAATTATTGGATAATTTCTAATTTTCGAAGAACTAATGCTTGCGTTTAAGAACAAGAAAGTAACTTTGAGCATTTACTGTAATATTATTTTAATGTGATTACAAATATCAGTTTATTTAAAATGTTAATGTTGACTTTCTTACATTATTAGTTGATATTGTTTATTTAAAATATTAGTGTTGATTTTTATTTTATTGATTGATAATACTAATACCAAAAATGTGTAGTTATTTTTTTAATGTGACGTTTTTTCATTATTATTCCCTACTTTGAGGCTGCAGTTATAAATCATTTTTTATAAATCGGAATTTTTGCCTATATTTAATGTATAAAAAAATGCAAATTTTACTCGAAATCCATAAACGATATCAAAATTTTGTAAGAGCAATAAAATCTTCTAAATTAGTGCTTATTTTTTAAAATATAAATTCTGTCGTCATTGGCATGCACACAAAAATGTTACGGAATAGCCAGTGGCGCACAGGCACTATAAATAGAACATCCTGTATATTCTCTCCAAATTCTATATTTACACTGCCCTTATATATAAAAATAAGTGTACCAAATTTGAAGTTTCTAAGAAAAATAGTTTTCAAATTATTTGAAGAAAACTATGTTATCTATTCTATATTTAGAAGGCTATATCTCAGTAGGCGTGCACTTTTGTATATAGGTAAGTTAGGCTAAATAGTCTTATTTTCATCCAAGGAATCTGTGGTCAAGCGTTGTCCATCCTTTCAGGGACACCCTGTATATGTGTTGGTGTGCGTGTGAATCTTTATATAGTGTGTAAGGTGTGTGCCTGTTTTTAGCTAGTAAGTCGTAGACAGTATTTACCGAATTATAAAAAATAATGTATTGTAGATTTGCTGTAGCCAGATGGAAAATAAAAAACACTTCAATTCCCAAATCTATACTTAACAGTGGCGACGAGGTAAATATTAAAATGAATTCAAAAAGAGGACAAGTTTGCGAATTTTCCGCAATGGACAGTGACTGGTCAGTGCACAAAGCTAGGCTTGAACAATATTTCTTCGCTGATGAAATTAAAGAAGAAAGAATTAAAAAGGCTGTGCTGTTAAATAGCCTCGACGAAGGCGCTTATAAATTAGTAGCAGATTTGTGTGTTCCTGAAGTTCCCGAACAGAAATCTTACGCAGAACACATTCAAAGTTTCGACAAATATTTCATCAAGCCAACATTTATATATTTGGAACGTTACAAATTTTATTAAGCTTCGAAGAATGTACATGAAACAGTAGCGCAATGGGGAGCCAGAGTAAGAAACCTGGGAGCAAAATGCAAATTTGGACAGGCATGGGATCAAATCCTCACGGACAAATTTATTTCTGGATATATTTTTTGAACTAGAAGAAAGTGTCACACTGGACAGGCCGACAAGTTTTAAAGGAACTACATACTCATCAGGGGGCAGTTAAGAGTGTAGCTAGGTCTAATGTATGGTAGCCCCAGATGAATACTGACATTGAAAGTTTAGTTAAACGTTGTCAGTATTGTTTACCTCAAAAAAGTATACCACCTAAAGCCTCTTTAATAACATAGCCGTTTCCCGAACATTGTCGGGAAAGATTACATCCGGATTAGTTAGGTCCATTTTATGGTACCTAAATATATTTTAGTGGTTGTAGATTCTTACAGTAAGAAGCTAATATTTTTTTTAGATTTGGACTGTAAATACGTAGTTGCTGATAACGCAAAATATTTTGTATCTAGTAAATGTCAACAGTATTTAATGGAAAATGGAATTAAATTTTCCATTAAATTTTCCATTTTCTCCTGCAACAAGTGATGCTGCAGAAATTGTGGTTAAATACTTAAAAAATGCAATTAAATCATGTAATGTGCGAGGTCCATAAGATCTACTAATTATTTTAAACAAAATATTATTAGATTATCGTAAAAAGAAACATGCCACTACAAATTATTCTCCAGCTCAGTTGTTGTTAAGAAGGAATCTAAGAACTAGATTAGATTTAATTAGGGAAAATAATGAAATAGTTAAAAGAAATTTTATCATGGTGATAGAACTAAACCTTTTAGTATAGGGTAAAGCGCAGCTGTAAGATATTATAGAGATGTAAATAAAAAAAATTAGATTTCAAGTATAATTAGAAATAAGTTAGGACTAACTTATACTGTGTATATACCTAAGTTATCAAAATTGTGGAAAAGACATTTAAATCAAATTATAGAATATAATTCTGATAATTTGAACAAGCAGCATATGACAGAAAATTTTCATGGCACAAATTCAGACAAGTTATTGCCGAGTAGTTCAGTGGGAAATGAAAGAACTAGTATTTTATCCAATGTTGAATCTAGACCTAGACGGGTAATAAAATAACCAGTCAGGTTTGTGCCATGATTATTTTTTAATTTTATTTTAAGAGAACGTTAGTTAAACTTTACATAGTGTGTAAGGTGTGTGCGTGTCTTTAGCTAGTTAGTCGTAGATAGTTTTTACCGAATTATATAAGTAATATACTGTAGATATTAGATTTGCTGTAGCCAGATGGAAAATAAAAGTAACACTTCAATTCCTAAATCGACACCTAACAGTATGAAATGTATTTTTTTATAAATTTAGGACAGGTTACCTATATGATTACAAAATTCAGAAATAAATCTACAGAAATCTTGATGCTTTATCACATTTTTGAAAATAAAAGGTATCATCATAAAAGGTATTTGTTATATGTATTTCTTGTATCTTTAGGGAAAAATCAGTTAATTATTATTATTGAACAACCTATTTAATTCTAGATAAAAATTACCTTTTGATTATTTGCTTTATAAGATTTCAAGAAAATATAGAAAATACTATTTATACTCTAAATCTTCAAACAACAAATCTAATAAATATATAATAATTCGTTTCTTAGTTAGTACTTACTTTTGACATACATTTTAAGCATATTTTACGGCAGAGTATCTTTCCTTGTCGTCTGCTAGTGCCCTTCGAAGCTCAGTGAAGGATTTTAAAAGTTAACTTTGCAACCCTCTGGAAATTGTAATCGTAAGCTTAACTTGAGGCTACACGCTGTGAAGCGAAACATTACTCTAATTCTAAAGGATCTACTTTAGCACTCCAGTTTATATTGTCTTTCTTCTTTACAATACACAATAGGCCAGTTTCGTTATGTTAATATTTGATACATTTCTCATGCGGGGATCTTAACGTGTTTACTCTTTGCTGTTTACTTGCATTTTAGAAAATAAATATTAACTTTCCTGGAGTAGAGCATGTTTAAGATAAAGGGTCTAGCCGATTGAGCATATGAACACCAGGGTCTAATGAAGAGTTTTTACCTTGTTTTTATCGTTCTTCATCTAAAAGACCTTAACAAATTAATTTTAGGCTTCTACTCCCGTTAATTAGCGAATAATGAGGGTGGCAACCCTTAGATATTGTTAAATTTAATTTTTTTTTTAACTACTCCAGATATCTTAATGAGGTTGAAACTGTTTATAAATGTTTGTTATTATATTTAAAAGTTAAAGAGTCGAATTGGTAGAACATAGTTAAAAAAATTAAATCCATATCAAATATAAAAAAATATATATAAAAAATATAATTTGGTAGAAACAATCATACAAAGTATAGATATAGATAGCTACAAGATATAAGAATTATTTAGAATCGGAACTTAATAACCATCATTATTTTCTTCAGTAGTTGTAGTTACACAAGTTTAATTAAATATGGAGGTCAATATTTCAGCTGGTTTTAGGATTTTGGATTTGCAACGTGTATGTGACAAATAGTAAATAACTGCCGCTACATGGGAATGACAGCCCACGGTTCTATTTCCATTTGCACAATCACACACATATCTTTGAATACCCCTATAGCTATTCATTATCTTCAACGAGTTTGACGAATTTTCCAGAACTCACTGAAAATGATCACAAAATATTATTTATCGGCACTTAACCAATTGTCATAAGTATTATGTTATCTTGCGGAAATAATGAAAGTATAAACCTTGAATACTTTAAAAATTCCGAAAATTTTATAAGGGTGAGATCAAGACATATTAATAATAGTTATTTATTGTATAAGTGTTTTAAGTAGCAATTTGTCCACCCAAGAATGTTTAATATTCTTAAGTGGATAAAAGCAATTAAAACATGAATGCAATACAACGTTTTATCCATAATCACATCTCAATCATATTTGTATATGAGAATTATTGGAATTTAATAAAAAAATATTTGACGATATTTCTTAGTAGTACTCAATGAAAGGTGGTAGGTTTTATTATACCTACTGGTTGGCTATGGTACGTTGTTTATTATCAATTATTTAATAAACAATTCTATCTGAATTTGGTAAAATTACAAGAAGAAATTACAAGAATTGTGTTCCTGTGGCTGTTTTTGAAGAAGCTCAAGAAGCAATTTTTCATTTATTGCCAGCGAAATCCAGGAAACATTACGAGAAAATGTTCGTCGAATTTAACGAATGGAGAGGAAAACGGAGAGTAATGACAATAAATGAAGAAGTCAAGCTATCGTATTTTTTAAATTTGAAGAAAAAATATGCAATTTCATCTAAGTGGTCGAAGCATTTGATGTTGAACGCTACTATAAAGGTCTATAAAAATATAGAAATATATAGAGATTCATGAAAATTTATACAATTATAAAATAAGGATTTTGCGTGAATGCTGTTAAAATATGCAGAAAATATATTTATCTGTGCCCAATTCGCCTAACTCAAGACAAATTCTTTTTTAAGATCAAAATGTACTTCTCAGCCTGTTGAAATCAACACATTGGCGAAGGTACCCTATAGTTGCCTCATTCCTGAATATCGCAAATCCACAAGCGTATACTGGCCATTGTATGAGGCGCACTTCAACAACTTTATTGGCCAATAAAGGTGCTGATTTTACAACCATCAAACGGCATGGTGGATAGAAGAACTCCTCTGTAGCAGAAAGTTATGTTGAGCAGTCTATATTTAACAAACATGATATTGCAAGGAAAATCCAAGGGAAATATAATTTACAAGAAGAGACATCCGTAACTTGTGCAAATTCTTCGCAAACTTCGGCAGTTGTTATGCGTTCCGAAAATGATTGCAACAATGTGAGCTGTTGTTTCCATATACCAGCAGTTATTTACTATTTTTGTCACATGCCCGTTACAACTCCTAAATCTTAAAACTAGTTGAAATATTGACTTCCATATTGACGAAACTTGTATAACTACAACTATTGAAGAAAATAGTGATGGTGATTAAACTCCGATTCTAAATAATTCTTATTCTTGTGGTTATATCTATACTTTGTATGATTGTTTCTGTCAAATTATACTTCTTTATATGGATATTTGATATAAATTTTATTTTATTACCTATGTTCCACCAGTTCGACTCTTCTGTAGTTTTTATATATAGGGTGTTCAAAAAATTTGGAACGCCCTCCCCCCTCTATCTCAGAAAATACTGCTCAAACAAAAAAATGATTAGGACAAAAGTTCCAGGGTTTTGATTGAGCAATCCAACGGCTACCTTGACTATGACCTTGACCATGACCTTGAAGGTCATTTAGAGGTCAAGTTGAACATTTTAAATACAACCGTATACTTTTGACCCCGGAAATGGTAAGAGCGGAAAATTTTACGTTCGAATGTGACCTTCACCATACCTTGACCATGACCTTCAAGGTCATTTAGAGGTCAAGTTGAAAATTTTAAATGGAACCGTATACTTTTGATCCCAGAAATGGAAAGAGCGAAGAATATCGGGTCATTTATTAAAAATCGACTTGACCTGTAAACGACCTTGAAGGTCATGGTCAAGGTCATATCCGCACGTAAAAATTTCCATTTTTTCCATTTCCGGGGTCAACAATATACGGTTTCATTTAAAATGTTCAGGTTGACCTCTAAATGACCTTGAAGGCCATGGTCAAGGTATACGGTTCCATTTAAAACTTTCAACTCGATCTCTAAATGGCCTTCAAGGTCATGATTAAGGTCATGATTAAGGTCATGGTCAAGGTTCGGTTGCTCACTCAAAACCCTGCAACTTTTGTCCTAATCATTTTTTTTGTTTGAGCGGTATTGTCTGAGATAGAGGGGGGGGTTCCAAACTTTTTGAACACCCTGTATAATAGCTAACTAATAAATGAATAAACTGTGTTTTTTTGGTATCACCTCCCAAAAATATTTTTCTCGTTTTCTACTGTTTTTAATAGAGTGAAAATTTTGTATAAAATCTAGATGTAATTTCTAGACATTTGTAAATTGTTTCAACCTCAATAAGATATCTGGACTAGTTTCGAAAAAAATTAAATGTAACGTTAAGGGTTACCACCCCCATTATTCCCTAATTAACGGGGGTAGAAGTCTGAAATTAAGTGTCAAGAGGTTTTAGATGACGAACAATAAAGACAAAGTAAGAACTCCTCATCAGACGGTGGTGTAGTTTTCATACGCTTATCGGCTATTCCCTTTAAAAAATATGATGTAATTATGATCCTTAGGCCCAGTACTTTGGGTCTCGGTTAAAGCTTGATTAACTGATCAGGCGATTAGACTGTACATATGTTGATTTATTTTATAAAGGATAGTCACAGTCTAATCGCCTGATCAGTTAATCAAGCCTTAACCGAGACTCAAAGTACCGGGCCTTATTGTAAGCAGTACATAAATATTACATATACATAAATAAATATACATTTTCCTAAAAGTTTATGGTTTCCTAGTTTTATGTTTCATTTATTTTTTGTTCAGCTCTAATAATTTTGAAAACTTAATACCCATTTAGTATTTATTTAAGGATTAAGCAACATACTGAAGAAACAAAAATTACATAACTTCACTAACATTCACTATGTTTCTTTTATTTTCATTATTACCATGTTTTCTTTTTTGATAATGTAATTTTGTTTATTTAATTTTTTGTCTATTTTATTGTTTGTCCCGATTTCGACGTCATGTTGTTATGTTACTTCACTTAAGGTATATCAATTATTATTAAAAATAAAAATTAACGGTGTTTTGTGAGAAATCGACAGGTTAAAATGAATTTTTTGGTTTTAAGGGTGTTTTCTATACAGCAACTGCAAATGCAAATGTCAATGTTGCAATTGGACTATTTTCTGAAATATTTCATATTAGATTTTTTCCTGCAATATCCAATGGCGTACTTAACTTAATTTCTTAACAATATTAACAGTTAAAAACATCTTTATGACTAGTTTTCCAGTAGGTACCAAATAAGCAAATAAATATACGTGGGAACTTTATAAATAACAAAAAACGGCCATTCATAGACATTTTTATATCAATTTTTCTTTTCTACACGCTAACTGACACTTTAGTTAATTGCAATGAAATATTTGTAAAGACTTAAGACCTTACATCATCGGGTTTGTATTTGCTTTTCTTATTTTTTTAAGGACATTGCTATTAACTTCAGCCTTGAAACTGCACCGATTTTCTGCTCACATTAATTAGTTCTCTGTTCTATAAAATGAAGAACTTACCTATTATAGTCAAGTTGACGTGCGTGATGCGCGTTGGGGAGTTCTGGAAGTCGACCCTGCAGTGGAAAATCTCCTCGTCGCTTAACTTTGTGGGGGATATGCTCATCATAGCCCTGTGATCATCCAGGATCCTCAGAAAATATCTATTGTGAAGGGAAGGCTCTGCCCAATGTTGGGGGTGACTACCCCGGACGTCATATTTATAGATAGGCGATTCCTCGACACCCCTATACCACAGAACAACACTTAATTTATCGGGGATGAGCGTCGGGGTGAGGTTACACGGTAAGGAGGCGGTGCCCCCATCTGAGGCCTCTACGAACTCGGTCGCGGGTTCTGCCTCTGAGCAGGTCACTATCAGCACTAACACTAACACTAAGAATCCGGCACTGGACATCATGCTACATGACCGATTATGCAGGGGTTTGTTCTATTATAATTAAATTTTGAGCACAGTTACAGAAAAATAGTTATTATACCGAGGCCATTCGTTGTCTTGCACATGAATGTTCACCCTGAAACAAAAAAATAGAAGATAGTCACGTCATAAAAATTTTTCTTCTTTCTTTCATTTTCATAAAAGAAAAACATATGTTGAATTACTAAACATTATAAAACGACCCCATACAGCAAATAAAAATTGAGTAAATTTTCACACAAAAATCAACGCAATTTTTTGTTAAAAAGAGTCCACAATAAATATTGTGTTGGTAATATTAATTAACATTTGAGATGAGATTGCTAAATTATGTCATTATATTAATGTAAGTAAATTTCTCTCTAAACATATTAAATGTGTATATATATTATTTATGTTTGTCTTATTTAATTCAAATAATTCGTTAAATGAATTCTATTTAACAGTTTAACAAGTACCTAATAAGGACAAGAAACAAAATAAATCGTTTTGAGTTAGATTTTGTAGACACGACTTATATGTCGTGCCAAATTAAATTTAGTATAACGAAACCTTGTAACACAACATGTTTTGAACAAAACGCTGATAAGTCACTTAAGTAATTTTTTAGAGTAATTTAGTTTATTATGTATTACAAACTGAGGGTTGTTTTCGGTGTGCACCAAATAAAAATCTCTCTCAAGGGAAAAACGTATTTTATTGTAAACAAAGTTTGTGAAAAAGACGTGTTGTTCGAGAGAGCGTTCGCTGGAGAGTCTTCGTGGTGTGGAGTCCCTCACAGGTATAAGTATCTGGTGCTGGGCGCCAATCTGCCTGGACCTTTTCCTGGAATCCTGTTGCGTCCCGCGTTTGTTTTTTGTCCTTGCAACTGCTAAGCCGTCCGGCGTCAGCCTGGCGCTCTTGACGTAATACTTATGGGTCACTTGCGGACATGTGTACCCACAAAACATTATTATAAATATTTTGTATTTTGGTTATATACGCAGGAATGGTAAAATTAATTTTTAGTTTAACTAATTTGTGTATGTTCTTTTTGTATTATATACAGGGTGTTCCCGAAATAAGTGCGTTCCTTGAAAAGAGTGATAGGGGGCATGAAAATGAGCAACTTTTATTAAGCAACTGATAGTCTGTTTGTTTTCGAGAAAATTAGTTAAGGGAATATAAACCGACCCTGTGCATCTTGTGCACGTGCGTTATATATTATTTAGCCGGTCTATAACATATTTATTGGTGTGATGCAATTCCTCACGTTGTGCAGAGATCTCGGTTCTAGCTACGGTTTTCAGTGAATGCAGGGTGTGATGTTTTTGGTGACAGAATTTGACAGCATGTTTATTAGCACAACTTTGAACAATTTTTCTGGAGTATATCATCTATTAGTAGAGTTCTTTTAATATCTCATGAGCCGCGAAATGCGCGAAAGGCGTGGCATATCTCCACAATTCTTCTAATAAGCACATTGTGAAAACATTGACTCAGAACTAGACCATGTGCATCATTACAAGTAGACATGAACTAAGGCGCTCGGGCATCAATAAAGTCAACTGGCGAACGTTCGTTTTATATATTTTTATTGTTTAAATTAAAATAATAAAGAATAGGGCATTTTATTATGATATTTGTAATCGGATCAAAGGCTTGTTTACGCTAGAGCTCGAGAGAGACTGTGAATAATAGGTGCAATGTTTTTAGGACGTAGAATAATTTAGGCGACGGTCGGAATTATGTTTCTGTGCATATGAAGGTCAAAGCTCATAAGATTTTAAAACATATCTAAGCAATTTGTTTATTTGTTTAATTTCAGCATTTTCGAACACAAAATTTAATGGGTCAAAACCGCCATTAGCGCTTCCGCACTGCGGCACGCGGCAACTTTGATATTAAAGGTACCAGGAACGGCTTTAAATTTGTTTAAACCTTCATGTGAATTTTTTTTTCAATTTAAAACGTAATGATTTAGACCATCAGTTGCTTAATAAAAGTTGCTTATTTTCGTGCCCTATTACCTTTTTCAAGAAACGCACTTATTTCAGGAACGTCCTGTATTTTTAGATAACAAAACACATTTTTTACTGTTGTCCTAATTTATATTTTACGAAAAAATAAACTCAACAGTTTTATTTGGAATTAATCTATTTAAACAAAATTCACAGCCAAATACAATTTTTTTATCTCTACAAATCCGACGTCGTTAAATAGTTTTTAATCAAATTTTACATGCAGACAGCTTCTATGAGGATCGGTAACGTTCATAGGAAATTAATTTTTTTGTTGTAGTTTTAATGAGAAACAGCCTATAGATAACAGAATCGACATTTAAAAACGATGTGATTGAATTTAGTGGCGATTCAAGATGTGTTCTTATTCAAAAAGTAATTTAATTGAACATGAAGATCACCATCACCGGTACCGAACTCATTAGTCCTTATCAGCATGTCATAGTTGAGACAACCGATCAATCCAGCTGTTCTTGATGTCTTAACTACAGAATGAATTGAGTATGTGTGAGATATAACAAAGTGCTATATCTATGAATAGTCACTGCTTATCTTGGTTCAAACTTTCAATACGGTAAAACTCACAGAGACTGACCTGCTGTTTTGCAATAACATTTTGTTATAGAAGCAAAACTTGTGTCGCCACTAAACGAAAAAATTGTTAACTGATGATATTACAGGAAACAATTACTCTGATACCCCGATTAGCTGCAGTTAAGATGTCAACAACATTCGTCGATTGTCGCACCTATCGCATACTGATGAGGACTAATAAGTTCGAAACCGTGTCTAATGATTCTGCTGGTGGCTAGACATAGCTGTTTGCTAGATATTGCGGGTATAATACGGAGCGTTAGAACGTAGCATAGTTGTTTCCAGAAATATCATGAATTAAAAATTGTTTCACCTAGTAACACAGGACCTGCTTTCATGGTACTTGCGAAAGAGCGTGTCGCAAGGTTTAGGCATTGAATATGTTTCCATTCATAGATGTAACACTTTGTTATATCTCATCAATTACGTTTAACTTTATATAACTTATATTTCATTATTATTTACTTCTCAGAAATATATATTTTTTTAAATAACGAATAATTATACAAATCAAGTATTTTAATGGTAATGTAATAATGATCTTGGAATGATTAATTAATTTTGAAACTTTTCCTAACATTATTATCATTTCTTGCTTATAGGTGTTCTCCTTTTATGTTTGTGTTTCTTCGTAATCTTACTCGTGCAGTAAACAGTGCTCTACGAAAATACATTATTGCAATGGAATTTGAATGCTTACACATACCGGAGTTTGCAACAAACTTTTAGATGCACCAAAGATAATCTTTACTAGACCAAATTCTGCCCCGGGAACGATGCGGACATGTTAACAGTGTCGGATAAGACAACGAGTACTCACAATGAAAGGTTTATTACTATTAACAACCTCTGACGTGTGACCACCAACCCTCGTCGTCCCACACTGACCAGAACTCACACTCTAGGGCTGAGCTAGAACTCACTTGTGGTTGCGCTGTGAAGGGTCCAAGGGTTCATTAAGGAGCCCTTTGTGTTTTTCAGCAGGGATTAGAACTTTTCATACGAACAATTCTAACTTTATATAAATATAGACATTGACGAGGATGGAATATAGGACAGATTTTTTCGTATTGGAAAATAAAATATTTTCTCAAGAATCAATGAACTATCGTCTTTTGTTTTCAAGTTACATACAATTTTTTACAAAGTAACTTGTTAATATCCAAAAAAATGGTTATAAACATATAACCTGGTTATTAATTACTAAAAAATGATACAGGGCGTCAGTTATGCTGCAAATTTAGTCGAAGCTTCTTAGTATGGTTTTCTTAAGTATTTTTTTTTATTTTAAACAAAAAATCTACTTCCATTAAAATTCGTTCAACTGTTTCTTTTATGAGGAGCAAATATTCTTTTTGTAGAACTACTTTTGTGTCGACAAAAATTTCATAATGAAGGACAGTTCTAGGGTTTCTGGTCGAGACTTCTCGAAGCGAGAATTCCCGGGAAATCTGGCCTTACTCGAGACGAGAAAAAAGTGTCGAGAAATCGAGAAATTTAAAAATAACACGCGTCTTAAGTTCTTGACTGGAGTTCGTTTCGTTCATGCGTTCAATTCGTTTCCTGAAAAATAACTGAGCGGTTAAAGTGGTTTCTCGACTAGCTCATGATTTATTTATTTTAAGTTTTTAAGGCTTTAGTTTACTTTATGATTCTATTTTTTTTAATGTACCTAGTTATAAGTCTGTGTAGAAATTATATTATAAGCAGATACCTAATGTTGATGTTGATTCTGAAAATATTTAGTTCCTGTTCTTTTAGTTGATTATTTTATTTTTGTTTTGTTAATTAAAAGATTGTGATTATAAAAAAAAATAATTTAATTGATAAATTAATAGGAAGAACGCTTCTGTATCTTTAAATTAAAGCTTGTTTTTTAAGATTTCTTCAGTTAAATTCCTTATTTACTATTTGTTTAATTAAAAGACTGCATGATTAATGATTATTAATAATTATTGGAAGAAAGCTACGATTCAAATCATTGAAATAAACATAAGTATATTGAAAGTGTTTAATAAAAAAACAAGTTAAAGGTTTTTAAGAAGAAACTCAAAGTTTATTTAGTTTTGTTAGTAGAAGTAGAAACATTAATTAGTTAATTAATTAATTAATTAATTAATTAATTAATTAATTAATAATACTGAATAAATAATAAATGTTAATGATGAGTGTTATGTATAATAGCATGTTTATATTTTGCATTGCAATACCAAAATTATGACTTTTAAATTTGAGAAATCTCTCGAGAATTCGAGAATTCCCGGGAATTCCTAATCGAGAATTCTCGAGTCCCGAGAGAAAAAAGTAGGCCGAGAAATCAGAAACCCTAGACAGTTCATTATGTTGTTTAGAAAGCACATTGTGAATTTTTGTCAACTGGACTAG